ACTTTCAATGAAGAAATACAGGAAATGCATTTTTTAAAAATTTTAAATAATTTATTTATTTTTAGTTTTCAACATTCACTTCCATAAGATTTTGAGTTTTAAATTTTCTCTCCCACCCTCTCCTCCTCCCTCCCCAAGACAGTGTACAATCTGATATAGGTTCTACTTATATATTCATATTAAGCATATTTTCCCATTAGTCATGATGTATAGAAGAATTAGAACTAATAAGAACAACCCTGAGAAAGAAGAAATAAAACAGCCAAAGAAAAGGAGAGAAAATAGTATGCTTCCATCTGCATTCAGACTCCATAGTTCTTTCCCTGGATATGGATAACTTTTTCCATCATGAGTCTTCTGAAGTTGTCTTAGATCCTTGCATTGCTAAGAAGAGCCTAGTCTATCAAAATCAATCATCACACAATGTGGCTGTTACTGTGTACAATGTTCTTCTGGTTCTGCTCATTTCACTCAGCATCAGTTCATATAAGTCTTTCCAGATTTTTCTGAAGTCTGCCTGCTCATCATTTCTTATAGCACAACAGTATTCCATTACATTCACATACCTCAACTTGTTCAGTCATTCCCCAATTGATGGGCATCTCCTCAATTTCCAATTCTTTGCCACCACAAAAAGAGCTGCTATAAATATTTTCGTACATGTGGGTCCTTTTTCCATTTCTATGATGTGTTTGGGATACAGACCTAGAAGTGGTATAGCTGGGTGAAAGGGTAGGCACAATTTTATAGTCCTTTGGGTATAGTTCCAATTTGCTCTCCAGGATGATTGGATCGGTTCACAACTCCACCAACAATGCATTAGTGTTCCAATTTTCCCACATCTTCTCCAACATTTATCATTGTCTTGTTTCGTCATGTTAGCCAATCTGACAGGTATGATGTGGTACCTCAGAGTCGTTTTGATTTGCATTTCTCTAATCAATAGTGATTTAGAACATTTTTTATATGACTATAGATAGCTTTAATTTCTTTCTCTGAAAACTGCCTGTTCATATCCTTTGACCATCTATTAACTGGAGAATGACTTGTTTTTTTATAAATTGGACTCAGTTCTCTATATATTTTAGAAATGCAGCCTTCATCAGAGATACTGGTTGTAAAAATTCTTTTCCAGTTTTCTGCTTCCCTCCTAATCTTGGTTGCATTGGCTTTGTGCAAAAACTTTTCAATTTAATGTAATCAAAACGATCCATTTTGCATTTCATAAATATTCTCTATATCTTGTTTGGTCATAAATTCTTCCCTTCTCCATAGATCTGAAAGGTAAACTATTCCTTGCTCTCCTAGTTTGCTTATAGTATTACTTTTTATATCTAAATCACGTACTCATTTTGACTTTATCTTGGTATAGGTGTAAGATGTTGGTCTATGCCCAGTTTCTGCCGTACTATTCTCCAGTCTTCCCAGCAGTTTTTGTTAAATAGTGATTTCTTAGGGAATGCATTTCCAGGACTTATACTTAGGATGTGCCCCAGGTTCCAGAAGGATAGGATACTGTTTTCCAGTAGAGGAGGTAAGTTTCTTGATATTTCTATCCCCTTTTTCTGAAGGGAGGGCAGTGTTGGGGAGTCTTCTAAGACTCTGACCATAGCCTTCACCCCTTTGGGAGATAAAATTCCTGAGTCGATCATATCCCTTAGTATGGAGACCAACTGTCTCAAGCTCTTTGGTTGGGTCTTCTCAGAGTTCTAATTGACTCACCTTTAGGAGTTTCAAAGTTTCTATCTTAACTCTTTCTCCAATTCCCGCACACAAGCTGTCACCTCTCTAAAAATGAAGTTTTAACTTTTTTGTTTTGAAGGAGAGAAGTTCAGGGTCTTTCACAATTAGAGTAAGGGCTATGGCAACTACATAAAGTTCTTTCATCTAAGAATGATATGTATTAGCAGCCTGACCATAAGAACTATAAATTTTAATAACATTTTTTCTAATAGCCTTTTGAGAACTGGTTACACACTCAAGAACTTGACATGAAGTGTTATTTTCATTCTTCACATGGAGTGTTAATTCATTCTACTGAATTCTTTGACTTTTCCATACCTGATTTATGCATATTCTTTTTCTTGCCTCAGATTTCTGAATTAGAATAAACTAGCTAGGATTTTGCTTAGTTCCTTTGTGTAACTTCTCTCACTCACGGTCCCCTTGTTTTCTTCACACAAATTCTTTCCCTTAGTACCCTGATATATCACTTGTTTTTCCTCCTTATTCATTTTCCCAATAAACTAACTGAAGTCCAGAGAGGTTAAGTACATTGTGTAAAGAGTCACACAGACAAGTGAATGAGGCAGGATATTAAAACCAGGTCTTGTGATATAAAGTCCTCAGAGGGATTCATCTCAGCCTGCTGGGGACCTTCCTCTATGTCTGGTCTCTCTTCCTGAACAAGGATCTCATGTTCAGGAAGTGCTTTCAGTCTAGAAAGAAAAAGGTGGTTCAGGAATAATATGAAGTAAAGGGAAAAAAAGGAGAGCCAGATGGTGGATCTAGCCAAACATACCGTATGCAGAATTTCATGAACTAAATATCCCTAGGAGTTCCAACCAGCCAATTTGAGGTCCTGAATGAAAAGGTAAAGCGAGGCATTTTGGACCTCATATAAAGAAATTGACCTCCACAGTTCTCTGTTCTAAGTTTTATTATTCAGACTGCTCAAAGCTGAAGTAACCCTACTAGTCAATAATTAAAGAACAACTACTTGCAAGTCTACTATATTTCCAGCACTGTGTTAGGTAACTTCGGGACTATAGACACCAATCTTGAATTCTAATCTGTTTCCCTTTTCAATTCAATATAATTCAACAATGTTAAGCTCTGTTATGTACCAGTCACCCAAGCAGCACTATACTATTCTAGATGGGCAGGGGGAGGAATACAAGTACATAGATAAGTAAATAGAAGGTGTTCTGAGGAGGGGGAGACACCAACAACTGTGGCATCCTACACTGAAATAGTCATCAAGATTCCAAGGGAAAGAGATACATCTTTCATCATTTTTCCATACTTAAATTTTCACAGAACTTCCTTTTACTTCTTCAAAAGAGTGAAAAATTTGTGGCTCTTAAAAAAACCAGTAAATTTTATTACTTTCACACATCTTAGTTTTCTGTGAGTTCTCTCTGTAGGGAATATAGGCTCTGGACTTATTCTCCCAACTTCCCACCGTTGTGGGTAGGCTGGGTCCCCAGACTTTCCATACTTCTCCTTCTTAGGATTCTAGGGGTATCCTGAATGAGTTCAGTTGTCTTTCTAATGTTATTGACTCAAGCTCCCATTCCACTGTACTCTGCTCAATAGTAATTGCCAGTGATTATTTCTCCCATATAATTTACCCCAATGCCAGTCAGTATCTCCTCAGGATCACTGATAATCAATTAACTTCAATTTTTTATAAAAGTATATTTACTTTAAAAATATTGCAAGAACCAAAAACATCCTTCCATCCTCCATTCCATAAAACCATTTACATCTGAATACACTCTTCCCTCTACCACCTCGATCCTTGGGGAGAGTGGGCTCAAATGTAAAGTGATTGCTATACCAACATTCCACTGAATTCACTTTGGGGAGTTGCATAGCAGATAGATAAGTGGTTGCTTTTGCTTGCTGGGCATGAGGTCTTCACCACTGAGTAGACTCACTGTTGGGCTGGGCCAAACAGTTTGCCTAAGGGTTCCGTTCTAGGGTTGCTGGCAAACTCTATTGGCTATCCCAACCCTTTGAAGCTCATTAAGGTTGTTCTAGCTCCAATCATCCACCTAAGACATTAAAGAACAGAACAGGGGCAGACATAACATAGGCACTATACATTCTAGGCCTCATGCTACTTGGGTAGAGAGCCCTGACCAAGTGGCCCACAGCAGTTCTTGCCTTGCTCACCAACAGGTAAGAGAGGCTTGATTTGGCCTGATGGTGCCTCCTGCATGCACTCAGCCCTGGTTTTCTGTCTTCACGTAGTAAGCAGGCAACAGTCCCTTGTAGAGATCATTCTCTGAAGTGGAAGCAAGGGTCCTGCCTTCCAATCTACAGGAGACTGGTTCCCCCATCAACCAAGTGGGTTTATTAAACAGGAAAAAAAAAGGTAAAGTAAATGCTTATTAAAGATCTAAATAAAAAAACAAAAAGTATGGTGATGTTCTCTGGTTTTGATTCCTGCGTCTTCCCTCTGTTAATTATGATTATCCTCATTTTACAGATAAGGAACCCAAGACTGGGTGCCGTGCACCCGGGTGAGCCACCTGCCTGACCCAGCAAGCTGCTCCCTCCTGGCTCCGTCCCCGCCTTCTTCTGGGAGATCCTCGCGCGGGGGCAGGGGGATGTCACGCCTGGCTTCCCTCCACCCAACCCACGGCCTCCCGGGCTGCTGCTCCACAAATTAGGGCTAGGAGCGAAAGCAAAACCAGGGGCGGGCGGGATCGGCCCGGCCCCGCCCTCGCCCCAGCAAGCCGGCAGTTCACCGGCTCGCTAGGCGCCTGCAGGGGGTGTCAAGGGGCTCGGGACAGAGTCGCCCCCCGGCGGCGGGAGAAAGCGGCGCTAGCGGGGCGAGACCCAGGCCCAGCCCCAGGCCCAGTATGGCCTCCGTGGTGGAATTCAAGGGGCCCAGGGAGGGTTACCGCTGCGGCTACTGCGACTCCCCGGCAGGCAAAGTCTCCAGCGGTGAGTGTGGCCGGGCTCTCCGGGCCCAGCTTACCCCCTCCCTTCCTCACTTCCCCAGCCCGGCGTCTTTCCCGCGGCTCGTCTCGCACTAGGGCCAGCAAGCCTCGCCGTCACTGAAGACAGCCGTTGTTCCAGGGGCGGACTAGAAAGAGCCCCGCGTTGCCCTTGCCAAATATGGCGTGAGTGTCGTCACCCCTCCCCGCCCGCCGCGGTCAGCCCCGGCGAGGCTTGTCCCTCGGGAGGACCGGTGGTTTTGCCCGTCTCCCCGCCCCGTCTCCGCCTGCCCCACCGCTCGCCGGCGCGGGGCATTGTGGGGTGTCAGCGGCTGCGGCTCAGAGCGACCGGATCTGGCCGCGGGGCGGGGGAAGATGGCCGCGGCTCTCGGAACCTCCCCGACCATCGTGGAATACTTCGAGGGCGAGGACTTCTACCGCTGCGGCTACTGCAAAAACGAGACGGGCAGCCGCTCCAATGGTGAGGGGGCCCGGCCCGAACGCCGTGCCGGCCCGGTCCGGCGGGGCCCGCGCCGTGGCGGGAGGGGCCGGGGGGGGCGGGCAGGAGGCGGGGAGAGCGAGGCGGTGGCTCGCGCCTGACAGGCTGCGGGTTGGCGGGGGCGGACGCTCCGCTTCCTCGGCTCGCGCGGCCGGGGGTCCTCGAGGCTCCCCGCCCGGGGGAGGGGGCCGCCCCCCTACTCCTGGCCCGCGGCTGCCCACCTCCTTATCTCGTTTGACTGAGATTGAGTGGTTGAGTCTTCTCTCCCCGGTGAGACTGAGTTCCTCGAGGACGAGGATTGTCTTTCGCCTTTTTTTGTATCCTCAGTGCCTGGCACATAGTAGGCGCTTCATAAATGCTTGTTGACTGACGACTACGGGCACTCGGAAAGTGAGCTGGACCGTTCTGTGGTGACGTCAGCCCTGGGGGCCGAGTGCTCTTTGCTTTGTTTTCCTCAACTTAAAAATAGTAGTCAGACCTTTTTCAGTCTGTTTCCGTGTCCCGTGTCTTTTTGAAACGTTGCATGAAGTCATAGAATATTAGAACTGGAAAGGACCTTCAGGGTTATCCTCATGAAAGTGCTCTATGTTCGTTTGCCTGCCTTGTTGATATAATTATTATTACGTTTGGCCCAGCACACCAGCATTTTATAGAAATAGGCTTGGGGAGGAGAATTCATTTGCCTGAAGACACCTGGCAGAGGTAGGATAGGAAGGGTTATGATTTAAAGTTAGTTCAAAATTCCTAGTTCAGGGTTTGTTTGTTTGTTTGTTTCTTAATTTCCCCTCTCTGTTATACAGTATTGTGCTCATCAATTTTTAAAATTTATTTGAAGGATTCTTCTGTTAGAAGAAAGATTAGATTTCTGCTTGTTCTTAGGATTGGGAAGGCTTGAGCAAAGGGTAAAGGAGGGATGGATTGATTGACTGACTGCCTCTTACTTAACTTTAATTGCTACACCCTGCTTCACAGATTGCCCCGAGAAAGAATACCGATTTCTTAACAAGCTATCTTTTGAGGACCTCCACAGTCTGGCTGTTGAATATCTTTTAAGCCTATTTGACACTACTTCATTGTAAGCTATCCTTGTTGCCAAACTGTACCAGTCAAGGAACTGAAGGATCACATATCTAGAGCTGAAAGAGACCATGATTGGAGGCATCCAGTCCAAGCCTTTCATCATACAGATGAGAAACTGGGTCCCAGGAAGGATAACTAACTTGCTCAAGGTCAGACTAGTAAGTTGTAGAGGCAGACTTTGAACCTAAGTTCTCTCAATTTCTGGGCCAGTGCCCTTTCCACTGTACTGGTTCCTTTTTCTCATCCTTCTTTTTCTGAGCACTACAGTTCAGTCAAGTGATTCTGTTATCTTGACTGGAAGTTTTCCTCCATGTAGAATGATCTTTCCTTTACCTTGTTTTATAGTTATTTATGGTATATCTTCCTTATAAATCAAAAGATCCTTAAGAACAGTGACTGTTCCATGATAACTGGTACATGAGTAGTAGAAGACACAGTAATTGTTTGTTGAATTTAATTAGTTGTTCCAAAACGGATAGGTAATCAGTTCCCTGTTAAAGCAAGTCAGATCCACAAGCATTTATTAAGCTTTTAGCCACGGGCTCAGCACTGTGCTAAGGGACTAGAAAGAAAGATAAAAGTCAGCACCTGCTTTCAAGGAGCTAAATCTAATGTGAAAGACAACATGCGAACAACAATGTGCAAACAAGATCATAGATTGAAGATACTATCAGGGAAGGTACTAAGGTAAAGGAAGACCAGGAAAAGCTTCTTGGGGTAGGTGTGATTTTAGTTGAGGTTTGAAGAACGCCTGGGATGCTAGGAGATGGAGATGAGGAGGGAGAGTATTCTAGGCATTCCATGCAGTGAAAACTCTTGTAGTGTGGTGGGTGATGAAAAGCAAGGAGGCCATTGTCACTGGTTTGTAGAGTATGTGGAAAGGTGTGTTATAAGAAACCTAGAAAGGTAGGAAGGGGCCAGGTTATGAAGGACTTTTAAACACTAAACAGAGAATTTTATATGATACTGGAGGTAATAGGGAGTCATTTAAGTTTATTGAATGGTGGAGAGTGGGATGATGTAATCAGACCTATGCTTTAGGAAAATCAGTTTGACAGCTGAGTGAGACTGGATTGGAATGGGGAGAGACATTGGAATGGGGCTAGGAGAGCAACCACCAGGTGTTTTTGGTGACCAGGTGTGAGGTGGTAAGGACTTGCACCAGGGGAGTAGCAATGTCAGAGGAGAAAAGGGGAGGAGTGTATGAGAGATATTGCACACCTTGGTATCTAGCTTGAGTTACTGGGAGGATGGTGATACCCTCAAGAGTAATTTAAAAGTTTGGGAGAAGATAGGGACAGGGGGAAAGATACTGAGTTCAATTTTGGACATTGAGTTAAGATGTCTATAAGACATTCAATTGAAAGATATCCAGTAGGCAATTAGAGATGTGAGATTGGAGGGCAGGGCTGAACAAATAAGATACGAGAATAATTCACGTAGAGATGATAATTGAATCCATGAGAGCTAATGACTACTCCAACTGAAAATTGTACAGGCCTGAGCCTTGGAGAACACCTATGTTAGTAGATATGGCCTGTATCAGGTTCAGTAAAAGAGAGTGAAGAGTGGTTACACAGGAAGAAAACCAGGATAAAACGGTGTCATGAAAACCTAGAGAGAAGAGAGAATGAATGTGATGTTCTAAAACAAATTTATGCTTTAAATAGAAGTTGGACTATGTGACCTTTGAACAAAGTTCCTTCCAACATTAAGATTCTCTAGTGGTAGGGTGAAGACTTGGAAGTATTTAGTATGTAGTACAAATGACCTTGGGCAAATTACTCTTTGGGAACCTCAGTTTCCTCATTGGTAAAATGAAGGGAATTGGATTAGATGGCATTAGAGATCCCTTGCCAGTTCAAAATCTTCCACTTGTAGATCTATGATCCTGTAATTGAGGTGATTTTAGTGTTATCCTTTCGTTGAACAAGCATTTATTAAGAATCTACTGTGTGCCTTTCACTGGGGCTACAAAGACAAAAATGAAATAAACCTTGACCTTAAGGAGCTTACATTCTGTCAGTTGAAAATAGCACGAACACAACTAAATACCAAACACAAAATAATTTGTGGAGTGTGGAAAAGGGATCAGAAGAGACCTTATGAGGAGGTGGCATTTGAGCTGAGCCTTGTGAAGAGAACTAGTTTGTGGAAAGAGAAGTGAGGAGGGAGTTCATTCCCATCAATTAACAAGCATTAAGAGCTTAGTATATGCCAGGCACCATTTAGGCACTGGGCAGACAAAGTGAGTTTCTGCCCTCAAGGAACTTACATTCTACTAAGGGAATGCAACATGTTCAGCATGTTTGCAGACAAGTAAATGCAGGATAAATACACAGATATTGGAACCCTGGAATCAGTAATAATTTTTTTTGGGGGGGGGGAGATCAGGAAAAGCCTCCTGAAGAAGGGGGCTTTTGAACTGGCCCTTTAAGGAGCATACAGGAGATTCAAGAGATGGAGTTGAGGCAGAGTATTTCAAGATGGTGGACACATGGTGCAAAGGCATGGAGATACAGGATGAGAATTGTCATAAAAGTGGACCAATTTGGCTATAGTGTGTGTGTGAGGGGGAGAAAAGTTTTAAATGCCACATAGATGAGTTTGTATTTTATCAGAAGGATAATGTGAATCCTCAGGTTTCTTAAGCAAGGCAGTGAAATGGCTATACTTTAGTGCTATCAGTTTGGCAGGTATAGAGGCTAAATTGGAGAAGAGAACCTGACTGTGTAGGCCTGCTAATGAGAAGGCTATTGCATGACTTAGGCTAGAAGTGATGAGGGCTATTCTAGGGTTGTAGTGGTATGACCGGAAAGAGATGTTGAAGCATGAAGGCCACTTGTGCAAAGGTCCAGAGACAGGAAATGGAATGTAGTTAGGAGAGAAACGGTTTTTGGCTTAGTGAGGAATGGGTGGAAAGGTAGCTGGAGACAAGATTATGAAGGACTTTAAATACCAAACAGAGCAGTTGGTATTTTATCCTAGAGACAAATGGGGAACTCTTTTGCTCTGTCTTTCCCACTGCCACTGGTCTGTACATCACAGATTTAGAGCCATAAGGGAACTTAGCCCTCTGCTCCAGCGTTCTTCTTTTACAGATTTGGAAACCGAGGCTTTTAGAGATTAGACATGTAGACTTACTGAAGGTTACACAGGTAATAGATGGCAGAGCCAGAATTAAAACTTGGGTCCTTTGACTGCAAATCCAGACCTTTTTTCACTGCAGGACTCTCAGCATGTCATCTTGCCTGCATTTGGTAATAGATTCTGTGAACCACTGACTGGGTCAATCTTTATAAAAGCAGTTTCATTTATTATTTGACTGTTTAAAATCCTTCATTGGCTCTCCATTGCCTGCGTGGATGAAGTCCAAACTCTTTAACTATCTTCTCTGTTATGTCTGAAGTTTCAAATACCCATAGGGTTTTGGGACAGAGGCACAGAAAAAGTGCTGTATCAAAAATGTAGCTGCAGAGAAGCATGAGAAGACTTAGGAATTGATGCAAAATAAATGAAGCAGAACTATCAAAGCATTATACGCAATAATTATATTAATGAGTGGAAAGAACAGAGGCAAACCAAATTGATAACGGTATAGTTATGACCAAGTTTGACCCCTGAGTTGAGCTCCCTATCCCCCATTGTAGAGGTGGAGGACTGTGGGTGTGGAATATTGCATATGTATTAGGACATGATCCATGTGTTAATTTCTTTTCCTATTAAACTTTTAAACTTTGTTATATGAGATAAGCTTGCTGGGTAGGAGAAGGACATATTTGGAAAGAAATATGATTTAATAATAAAAGACAACAATAAAAATGACAACACATTTAAAAAACGAAATGTTTCTGGGGCTGCCTGTAATCTTATTACAACTTGTCTTTGTTGAAAAGTTGAAAAGTTTGGGGAAGGCACCAAACACAGCCATGGAACTTTTAAGATGCCTGGGGAAGGTAAACAGAAATACAACTCACTGCCTTCCCTACCTTCCAGCTTCCTTTCTACTTACTGAACTGTTGATAGGTACATTCACATCAGGGAAACCCTATGGTAAGCACCAGACCCTTTCCTGAGCCCTGGAAATTTACCTGAGTTTAATTGGGAGTCTTCAGACAACCGAATATCTCTGAAGGCCACCTGTTTATTGCTAGCCTTACTCTATATCGGTATTTGTATTGCTAGCAGTCACTATTCTTCTCTTTAGGAATCCTGTTAGCTGTGCTGCCAGTGCCATAGGCTGGTAGTAGTGGTGCAAAATGCAACATACCTTCTGCTGTCTCCATTGTATACTCGAGCTGTTTTGTTAGCATCTCACTTAATGTGTTGTCTTCCTGCTTTTCGTCCTACTGTGAAAGTGATTGGTGCCTTCTTGGGTACGTCCAGTGTACTCTCCTCACCGTAGAGGACTGTTGACATTTTTAGTTGACTACCACATGCGGTCTTCTGGTTCATACCTCATTTAATCAGTCAGAAAGTACATTATTCCTACTTTTGTCTGCAGTGCAGAATTTCTGTATTCGAATTTGAACTTTGTATTTGAACCCTAGATTCCACCCCTTCCTAAACAGGTTGTTCCTCTTTTCATGGAAATTTAGTGAAGCATAAAGGTTTGGGGTATTAGATGTGAAAACCTTTGAATCTCAGGTGTGTGATAGTCCTAACTCGAAGGTTGTAGGGTTCAGTAGCTGGTGAACAGTGATTAACCCGAGTTGGAAATATTTGTTGTTTGAAGTATGATTGAGAGGAGTATAATCCAAGTTGTACTTGCCCTCTTGGGTTCCAGGTGAACTTTTGGTCTTTGTTAATCCCCCTGTTTCTGTCCCTGTTTCCTGCCTGCTCTAATATTTTCTTAATGGACCAGATTCCTTTCTGCAGGTAGTGTTCTATGCTCTCAACAAGGTTGGCATCAGTTAAGTGTCTTGCATATCTGCAAGGCACAGACATGGGCAAATAATTCTCTTCAGAAGCTACCTGAAAAGATGAGCTTCTAAGGGCAGAGTACATCATATTATTACTATTATTTTTTGTTATACTTTGTCATCAAAAGGAATTGGATCAAGTTCTGCTTTAAATGTGTGGTATATAGCAGTGTAGATACTGTTTAATGTCTTCGGTAGTATATTATACATGTTAACTTGCTGGTAGATGACAGGCTTTGAAAAGCATTCCCTGAACTTCTAACCTATTTTGAAGTTTTCCAATACTTGGTTATTAACTGTGGACCTCTATCTGAGGTAGTCCTGAGAGCCCATGTAGGTGAATCAGTTTAATATGAGTCAGATGGTAGCTTGGAATACAGAATCTTGTGGCATATTTTCAAGAAGACACACATTGCCATAAGGTTGGTGGTGTTCTCTTGTGAAGGTGATATATATGTCAGTTGTAAATAAGGTCCTTCCTGATACTGTGGTTGAAGAGATCCTACTAATGGTTATTAGGAGCCTCTTGAAAGGTTTCCTTTTGCATTGGTACTTAATGCATGCTCTCTTGGATGTTATGCTGTAGAGTATGGCAGGGTGATGGCTGGAATAAAGCATGTTGAATGAATGGAAAAAGTGTTTACCATGTACAAAAACTTTGCTAAATGCTTGGGATATAAATAGAAAAATGTGACAGCCCCTTTTCTCAAGGAATTCCCAATATAATTGGGGGAGATAACATGGATAAAGAGAATTCAACTTTGTAATGGATGGAGAAGCCTGGAGTCTTAAAGATGTACAAGTGGGGCATTTGACAAGGCCCAGTGACGGGGGTCTTTTAGGGTACATTGGCAATTTAGATGGCTCTATCTTGGAAGTCTCAAGGGCATGGTGTCAGGAAAGAAAGGTAAGGCTCAGAAGACTGTAAGATACAGTGGAAAGGCAGATAATAAGGCCTAAATGTTCTCCATCTTATTGGAAGGATTGACTTTCCTGCTTAGAATGATATGAATAACTATCTCACCTTTAAAGGCTTGAGTTCTAGTAGAGGAACCTGCCTACTACTCTTGGGAAGTGGGGAATGGGCCTGTGGGTTATCTTCCACAGGAGTGGGTTGTTAAAAATCAGCTGGGGAGGGGGCTAGTGTCCCAGTGGATTCTGTGTAACCTGTAGTAGGAGAGTGGGGAGTGAGGAAGAATGACCTTCCCTGCTGTCTAGAAGTCCAAGTGGGAAGGAAAGTAAAATAGCCAAGTGAGACTTATAAATGTCAGAAATTAGTAGTTTTGGGAAATCTGTTTGGCTTGTGGACTTTCCTGATATGTCCTCTATGCTGGGTACTGTTGGGGTATTCTTACATGGTTGTCTGTATTGTAGGCAGCTTCAGGTCCTACGCAGAGGTAAGACTGCCACAATGTCACTGATTATTCTTTTGGTATATCTGTGTAGAGGTTGTGGCACCTTGACCTGTTAGGCACACCTAACACATACCTGACCACATATGTGGGTGAATAATGGCTTGTCAGCCAAGGTGTTTCTCATTCAGACACAGGAATGACCCAAACGTTTTTAGAAAATGGTAGACAACCAGATTAGGTACCTTTTTACAAGATGAGTCAGAGTAAATCCTTGATGAAACAAGCTCCTTGGGGGCTGTTTTGTTTTTGTCTTTATAACTCCTAGCACTGTGCACGACACATTAATAAATGTTGATTTATTCATGTATGAGGTAATAGTACAAGGGTTAATACTGATAAGTGAAGTCCTTGGATAAATGTAATTCCCACCAGGACAAAATATTTGTGTTTTGCTACTGATGTTTGTTTTCATAGTTAAAAAAGTTACAGTTTATATTTTTATATAGTTTACACTTTATTTTAAAAAGTTTAATCTGCTGGAATTATTAACTTTGACATTTATTTATTGATAACAGGCATGTGGGCACATTCAATGACAGTTCAGGATTACCAAGCTCTTATAGACCGTGGATGGCGAAGGTAAAACCACCTAATATAGATATTTTCTAGCCCCGTGGTTTCTTCACAGAACTTACACATTTAAATTGCCACAAAGTTAAACCTTCCTAGCAACTGATTTTAGTGTCTAGTCTTAGTCATTCCAAAAGAGCAGATGCCACAATAGATAGGTGGGGGGTAGTGGGGTATTGTACAGAATGTCTCAGTTATATTGGTTGGGATTGTTTTTGCTTAACTGTTAACAGGTCAGTTCAGTGGGAGTGGTATTTTAGAAATTAGTGGTGTAAAAAAGTCACTAACAAAACCTTAAAATCAGGATAAGGACTAGACCTGTAATTTTAGTAGCATAGGGAACTCCTAGGTGAGGAAAGTCCAATGTGAGTTGGCTCCTTCTTTGTAACATAGAGTAAGTCATATATGATTACTTAGATCACTGAAAGATTAAGTGACTTGCTCAGGGTTACACAGACAGGACATGTTACAGATGGGACTTGAACCAGATCTTCTTTTCTCGGAGGCTAGTTCTCTATCCATGATGCTATGTGGCTTTTCCAAAATGTATTTTCAAACTTTTTTGCATTTAAATTAATTGTGGAAAAATTAGTATTGTGTTTAAGTAATAAAATGTATTTTGCCTCTGCATCTCTAATAGGTAGAGTACTAAACTTGTTGTCAGGAGCACCCATGTAGTCATGGCTTGCCTAGCTATGAAGTGGGTATGCTGTTATCATGGCACCTACCTCATAGGGATAGTGTGAGGATCAAGTATGTAAATGCACTTAAAAATGTAAGATGTTGTTGCTATTATTACTACTACTTTTTCCCTCAAAATTTAAGTGCTGTTAATACTTTTAGTCTTTGACATCTTAAAATTATGAATACCTTTAATTTCTCATGTTAGCTGCAAATTGTACTGGATCTTATTCAATTAGGCTTATCAGATAAAGTAATCCCGCTTTTACTTACTTCATACTAATGTAGACTTCAGCATAAAATGATTAAACTTTGGAATCTGTCCATTTTAGTTTAATTGAGCCATTTGAAAGGCTTGATTATAATATTTTCTTGTGGCGTTGAACCTGGGGATGTCATTATGGTAGTCCTGCTCATTTAATTTTTACTTTTACATACTTCAAAAATCTGTCCTTTCAGCACTCTGTCTACTTTCTTCACCATTGTGGATTTTAATCACTCCATATCTTAGCACACAGTTTTCATGAGTTGATACTTTGAGAAGTATTTTATTTTTAATCTTTTGTGTGTACAGGAAAAATGTCTGAGAAATTAACAAGAATATTTTATTATTTTAGAAGTGGCAAGTACGTATACAAACCTGTTATGAATCAAACGTGTTGTCCTCAGTACACAATAAGGTAAGAACTTTGTATTGCAAATGTTCTTTGAAGCACAGTAGTGATAGAAATAGGGGAGCCCTGGTATGAAAGTTGCATTCTCTTGAGCCCTGTCACAATAAATACCTTTACCATATATGTATCTGGGTTTATGTTTTTTTGTTTCTTTTTTTTACAGATTGTCTTCTTCCATTAGAATGTGAATTCTTGAGAGCAGGGAATATTTTTGCTTAGTCACTAGCACTTAGTTAATTCTTAGTAAAAGCCTGTTGACTGACTGATGGACTGACTAGGATTGCTCGTTGTAATATTGAGAGATCTACTTCATGATACTTTCTCTTTGTCATGCATATTAGCATGTATCAGAGTATCACCGTGGCCTTTTAGTCCAACTCAGAAGGACTCTCTACTATAACATACCAAATAAGTGGTCATCTGCTACTGTTTAAATACTCCATTTTGGGGCAACTTCCTACTTCCTAAGGCAGTCCAGTTTATTTTTGCACAGCTCTCATTATTAGAAGGTTTTCTAGACATTAAACTTAAAATCATCCCTTTGCATGTTCCACTTCTAGTTCTGCCACCTTTGGACAAATACGACGACTTTAATCCCTCTTTCACATGATTAGTCGTGCCTATAATAGTCCATACCAGGTAGTTGGTTTTGCTAAAAAAAAAAAAAAAACTTCCTTGAAAAGAAGAATTTTCTCCAACCAGTTCAATTCAGTAAGCATTTATTGAGTATGTGGTATGTGCCAAACATCATATTGGTCACTGGAGGTAAAAATACAAAAATGAAATGTGTCTGGCTTCTAGGAGCTTACATGGGGGGAAAGTAACATATATAGATAAGTATAAGCAACATTTATATAGAAAGCAAGTACAGAGTAATTTCAGGGGAGGGAAAAGAATCCTAATAACCAGGAGATCAGGAAAGGCTTGTTGTAGGAAGTGGGTAATACCTGATCTATGTGCCTTTTTAAAATGTTTATTTTTTAAGTTTTATTTTTTAAAACTGACCATAAAATGAGCATTTCTGTGTACATAGTAGAAGAGAAGAAAAAGAAGATTGTACCTGAAACTGCTAATATCTATTATATACATCTTTTTTTTTTAAGTATATAATAAATTCAACATGTAACTTTCCATCTGTGTTCTATGGTTCCTTCTGGTCTTCTGTACTTTTCTGTGCTTTTAAAAAATATTTCATTGACCCTCTTTTCTTTTCTTTTTTCTTTTTCTGGCAACCCTATCCCTAGCCCCCATTGGCTGTGTCTGAAAATGTATGTCTTATTCTGCATCTTGAGTCTGTTAAGTCTCAATCAGGAGGTGGGTGTAGCATGCTTCATCATTAGCCTTCTGGGATCCTGATTGGTCATTGGATTGATCAGAGTTCTTTATTTAGTCTTTTACAATTATTTTTCTTTACAATGTTACTGTGTAAATTGTTCTCCTGGTTTTGCTCATTTCGTACTACATGAACACATCATTCTTTCTAGGTATCTCTAGTTCTTTTAGTTCAACTCCTAGTTCAGTGCTATAACAAAAAGACTGAGCTGTTCTTTGAAGGAAGTAAGGAATTCTGCTAGGAAGACATGAACAGCTATATTTCTAAGATTGTAGCCATTTTAGAGCCAATTTAATAAAAACATTGCTGGTTTAATCCAGTGTGTGTATAGTAAGCAGCATTTGAATATAATTTAAAATATTTTTGTATTTATTTCAGTATTAACATTTAGTGAAATACCCTGGCTTCTATTGTTCAACTTTTCTAATATTAAATAAAATTTTATTTTATTTTCAAAGATCAGTCTTCTTTCCCTCTCTCTTCCTTCCCTGACTGAGTGTGTGCAGAGACAGACACACACACACACAAACACACACACTCCCTCTTCTCCTACTGAGAAAGCAAGGGAAATAAAACCTGTTACAAACATTTGTAGTCAAACAAATTTTTGCATTGGCCATGTCTTTAAAAAAAAAAAAGGCCTCATTTTGCGCTCTTAGTCCATTACCTCTCTGTCAAGAGGTGGTCAGCATGTTTCATCATGAATCTTTGGGAATTGTGGTTGGTTGGTTTCCTTTATCTTCTTTTTTTCTTTTTTTAAAATTTTGTTTTAATCAGCCAAGCTCTGCCTTTTTTTACCTATCCCAGCCCCTTTGAGAACGCAAGAAAAACAAATGCCATTACAAATATATAGTCAACTAAAACAAATTCCCATATTGGTCGTGTCCTGTTTCATTCTACATTCTGAGTCTTTCATCTCTCTACCAGGAAGTGGGTAAGATGTTTCATAATTAGTCCTCTGGAATCCTGGTTGTTCATTCATACTGATACCAGTTCAGCAACATTAATATTCTGTTACATTTATGTACCGTAACATGTTCATACATTCCCAAGTTTATGGGTACCCCTTCAGATTTCCATTCTTTACCACCTCAAAAAGAGCTATAAATATGTGCATCCTTAGATTTTGTTTTGCTTAGAATTAATGCCTTCTTTAATTTATCCTCCCTCTGATTCCCTCTTCCCTGCTTCTCCCTTTTCCCTTCTGTAACTCTGTTGAGTGAAATACATTTTCTGTATCCACATGTGTTTGTGTGTTGTATGTGTGTGTTCTTTTTCTTTTGACCAGTTCAGATGAAAGTGGTTTGAATGTCAGCCGCTACCCCCCACTCCCGACTCCTTGTTAGTATAGATGTCTACTTATGCAACCTGATTGTATGAGATAATCTTCCCTAACCTTCTTTTCTCTTGCTGCCCATGCATTCCTTTTTCCCTCTCTTTCCATTCTTTTATTAAAATCATCAAGACATAACAGGACCATTCCCAGACCTTGTCTAATAAGACTCTCTGTGAACCCTGATGATGATAAGGATCAGAGTGTACTTATTTATCATCTCTTCATATTTGAATGTAAGCAGTTTATCCTTGTTTAGTTTTTTTTATCATTGTTCATTTGTGTTTACCTTTTTGTGTTTCTCTTCTCATCTGTGCTTGAACTTCAGAGTTTCTCTGTAGCGCTGGTCTTTATCAGGAATACTTGGAAGTCCTCTATTTCAGTAAAGGTCCATTTTTTTTTTTCAGCATTACACTGAGTTTTGCTAGATAATTTATTCTTGGCTATAAACCCATATTCTTTGCCTTCTGGAACATCATATTCCAAGTTCTCTGCTACTTTGTAGTGATGGCTGCAGAAGCATGTATGATCCTGACTGTGACTCTTCAGTACTTGAATTCTTTCTTTCTCGCTTCTTAAACAGTTTTTTCTTTGACCTGGAAGCTCTGAATTTTGACTATAATGTTCCTTTTAGGAGGTAATAAGTGAATTCTTTCTTTTTTTACTTTGTCCTCTGGTTCTAAGATCTGGGCAATTTTCTTTTATGACTTCTTGAAATATATTATCTAGGCTCTTTTTCTGGTCATGGTATTCAGATAGTCCAGTGATTCTTAAATTTTTTCTTGTCTCTTTGTTTTCCAGATCACTTGTTTTTGTGATGAGATCCCTTACGTTTTCATCTATTTTTTCAGCCTTTCAACTTTGTTGTAATATTTCTTATTGCCTCATGGAGTTATTTGCTTCTATTTAGTCCATTCTGATTTTCAAGGACTTTGTTTCTTAGGCAAGATTTTGTTCCTCTTGTGCCAAGCTGTTAATTCCCTTTCTGTTTCTTTCTGGCATAGATCTCATTTCTTTACTAATTTATTCCATAAGTGTTCTCATTCCATTTATAAAAATATTTTATAACTTTTTTTAAAACTCTTGCTTTATGAACTCTTCTAAGAATTCTAGTTGAATTTGTGGCCAACCTGTGTTTTTCTCTGAGGTATTGCTTGTAGATGTTTTAGGGTTGTTCTATGTTTGTGTCTTGAGCATTCCTGCCACTTGTTCATTATGGGGGAGTTCTTATTTATTAGCTCATTTTTCAGTTATACTGCCTGACTTTGCAGTTGGTGTTAGAGCTGGGCTCTTCACATTGGAGGGAAATTCTGGGCTTGTCTTAATTGCTGTTTCTTGGAGTATTGAGTGTTGTGTTAATCCAGGATTCTAGAATAGTCTGGGGAACTGCAAACTTTCATTGTTCCCAAAGTGGTCTGATCTAGGGCAATATCTGATTGCTACTCCCATATGTATGCTTGGCAAGTTAAACCAATTATCTTCTATGGATGGGATATTACAACTTTTTGAAAACTTTTTGCCAAGTATTATGCTAATTTTTTATGTAATGAAGTTAAATCAGTGGGGAATGCAATTTATCTTATTAAAGGAGTGTTAGATTAGGAAAATATTTTACAATTAGCATGTGTTGTCATTTTCTAAAATATTTATAATGCTACATTTTAGGTTTAGCTTTATAGACTAGTACCCAATTTTTTCCTAATTTTTAATGAATTCATTACGCTAGTTTAAATAAACCCTTATTGTTTATATGCGGAGATATTTGCAAATTATGTAACAAAGTAAAATTGGTTATATTGTAGAATGTAAGTAGCTACTTGATGTGTTGACATTAGTTATCTTCATAAGTATTTCTCTGTACTTAGAGATATAACTGGCCAGAAGATTTAGGCACTATCTAGAACAAATTATATTTGTTTGAAATTTAAGTATAATTTTTTAACTTGCTTTCTTAGATGCCGACCTTTACATTTCCAGCCATCAAAATCTCATAAGAAAGTTTTAAAGAAAATGTTTAAGTTTTTGTCTAAAGGAGAATTTTCCAGAGGGAATAACGAAGGTAAGATTGAATATGGTTCTAAACAAGTATTTTTTAAAAACCCAACAAAACTATAATTTAATTTATCCTTCTTAAGGATATTTAGGTGACCTTAGCTATTCTGAGTGGTGGGTGAAGAAAGATGTAATTGTTCTTTTTATACTGAGGCACAAATAAGTAATTTTGATTGACTCATGTCTGTGAGAACCAGTGTCAGAATTCCTTGCTTCCTTGTAATGGCCTTTCACCTTTCCTTTGAACCTGTGTAGATTTCTCATATTCTTCTAAAATCATAGTAGGTAGACTAGCTTTCACTAAGGAACCTCCACAATCTACAGGTTCACTGGGTTTGTTTACCTCACACATTTTTTGTTTGTTTTTGTTTTTGTTTTTATTTTTGGAAGAATATTATTTCTCCATCCTGCTGCACCCATGCCCCTATTGAACAATTAAAAAAAAGAAAAAGAAAACTCTCATATAAATATTCATAGGCCAGCAAAACAAATTCCCACATTGGTCATGTTGAAAAACATATGTCTCATTCTGCAATTTTAAGCCCATCACCTCTCATTTAGGAGGTGAGTGACATGGTTTACTTTCAGCCCTCTGTGGTTTATCATTGTATTGATCAGAATTCTAAAGTCTTGCAAAGTTTTTCTTTATAATGTTGTCATTGTAAAAATTGATCTAGTTCAGCTCACTTCATGCTGTGTTAGTTCATAGAGGTCTTCTCAGTTTCCTTTCCGGATTTAAAATGGCATTACAGTAACCCATACAGAGTTCAAAGAGCTTTAGAATTATTATCAGAGTTATAATCCAAGTACAACATGAGTAAAATAGATTTTGTTTTGGTTAACCATCATTTATGTTTTGATTTCCATGGGAAAAATACATTCTAAGTTCTAAACAGTTGATTTACAGATGAACTTTTTGTAATGCGTCCTATTTATAAGCTGATCATTGTCTTTGCTTATGTAGTGTTAAGAATGATGGGTTGGGAGAAAGGACCCTTGGTTTCAAGTTGAATTCTTCCATTAGCTTTGTAGTTTTGGAAAAATCACTTAACTTTTTTGAGACTAGTTTCCTCATTTATAAAACAAAGGGGATTGGATTAAATGATCTTTTAGCATTCCTTCGAGCTCTAACATTTTATGATTCAATCTTTTAAAAGGTCTGAATTTAGAAACTGTCATTATTTTGAGTAGACTTAAAAATAATTAGTGTGTGTATGATATGTTCACATGATAAAAAATACTTTTCATCCTAAATTTGGATATCTTAAAGTACTGAGTTACTCACTGCAGTTTCCCCCCCCCCCCCCCCCGCTCAATTTGTAGAAGAGCCCATGGATTCTCAAATGGATGATGCTGCGGTGGATGATTTTGTTCTAAAAAGCAAGTTGGACATACAGTCTGACCATCGACCCCTCAGTGAAGATTATAATGAGGTCGTAGAGAGTGAAGTGAAGGAGAAAGAAGAAAACTTGGAAACTAAGGAAACTAAAGAATTAAATCAGTCACATGCTAAAAGAGAGAAACTGGGGTCTGGTGAGCCATCACGTTCTGTTAAAGTTGTTCCCTCAGCTCCCAAGCCAGGTACTGAAGATTGGGCTCATGCCATGTTGAAAGAATGTTTTTCTTTTTGCTTTGGTCACTATGGGCATTGAACAACAACTTAAGCTAGTTAGTAGTTTAATTACCAGCATTCTTTTGTATACACTAAAACCTAGATATGTTGCATCTTCTCAATATATGGATTTGGTACATTGTGAATCAACATATTTCTGCTCGTTCCTTATTTTGAATAAAAGCCAGAAACAACACTTTCCCTTGAGGAACCATTTGGTAACCATTAATTAAGCAACTATTAATTCCTTTTCCACACCAGCTCCTGCTTGGGCAATTCCAACTCAGTTCTCAGGATCAAGGCTCAGATGATAGCAGCAGCCTCCTCTTTGGTCTCCCTGCTTCTATTCTCTCTCCTGTCCAGTCTGTCTTCCAGAAGTTGCCACAATAATCTTCCTAAGGCAGAGTCTGACTATACCCCTTACCTCTTCAAGAAGTCTTAGTGGTTTCCTATTGCCTTTAGGATAAAATTTAAACTCCTCAGCTTGGAATTCCCAGTCTAAATTCCAGACTGCCTTTCTGAACTTATTTTACACGCTTCCCATGTATGCATTCTAGATTCCCACCAAACTGATCTTCTTGCTCTCACCTGCACTTTCATCTCATTTCTGTGCCTTTGCATAGGTTATGATACATCTTTGGAATGCACTCCCTTCTTAACTCTGCCTCTGGGAATCTTTCACTTTCTTCAGCGTTCATCTCAGGAGCCAGTTTTTGTGAGAAGCCTTTCCTGATCCCCCTAGTTATTCTGTGTGAATGTTGTATGTGCACAGTACAGTGTAAACTCGCAGAGGTTTTTTAATGTGTCTAGAACTTAATAGAATGTTTTGTGTGTAATAGGTACTTTATAAATGCTTGATAAACAGAATTGAATTGTGTAACTCCAGATTTGTGAGAAAATTGTGAGCTATTGTCTCCTCAGCCAAGTGGTCCTGTGTTGTTCTTCACTCCATAGGAGCTGTTTATCACAAATCTCTTCTTTCCATTAAGTGGGTGTGGGAGTTGATTTTTGAGGGCCGGGAAAGAAGATAGATTCTAGTCCACAGCAGTAGGTCCCAGCAGTAGAAAGCAAGTAGATAGGAGGCACATAGAAGAACAGAAAAGGTCTAACTAGGGATCTTGCTGACTAGAAAGTGTCCTCTAGTATTTATTGTTTCAAGTGGCTTGTTTCCTTTTATCTCCTTACCCTATCTCCTTCCCTTATCTTCTTCACTATCCACAGTATTACATATATCTTGCTATTGTCCCTGCCTGCATCTGTGGGAGTTATCACTCTGGAATAACTGCCTAGAATTTGATGAGGAAGGGATGAGAAATTTCTTTTTTTTTTTTTTTTTTTGGCTAGGCAGTGGGGTTAAGTGACTTGCCCAGGGTCATACAGCTAGTAAGTGTTATGTGTCTGAAGCCAGATTTGAATTCAGGTCATATTGACTCTAGGGCCAATGCTTTATCCACTGCGCTACCTAGCTGCTCCTGAGAAATTTCTTTTTATACCAAGTGAATGAGAGGTGGATTTGTTCTTTTGTCCCAAGTTGAAATCCTCAAAGTGTTTTCTTATAGAAACGTTATTAATAAAAGATACTGACACTGATGTAGGCTTTATAGTACCATTAGAGATTTAATTTGAGTTGATTTTCTTTCTCTTTATGTAGATTACCATCCTTCTATGCCTTAGAAAACTGCTGCTTTGATTTATTGTGGCTGAAAAAAATTTATTGTGGCTAATCTTTTGGTGTTGACACTTTCTGAGCTAAGCTCGTGCTCAAACGAGAGATGTATTTGGCCTAGAATCCTACCAGTTGGGGAGTGCTCTCTCCTGGCACAGTCCATGATGAGGCATTGGGAGGACAACTTTAAGTCAGTCTCTCTCTCTCTCTCTCTCTCTCTCTCTCTCTCTCTCTCTCTCTC